TGTTGTGAGTGATTTTTGGGATTTTTTTCTTCATATTTTTTAAGTATTGTTTAAATGATTTCAATCTTGAAAATGAAAAGAACATCGACGATAGAAAGAACAGAAACAGTAATCAATGAGTAAAGAAACAATTCTTAGTGGTGATGTGGGACCCATTTGGACGGATTTAGCATGTTTTGGCCACGGTAGCATGACATAGCAAAAGTTTTTGTACATATCATCACTTTTTTAAATTTTGCTCTCCACATCATCAAAAAAATTATAAAAATGCCACATAAGCAGAGTTAGCGGCTCAAATTAACAGAAGGACTAACGAAGTGCATTTCGTGTAGTTGAGGAATCAAAAAAGTGCAAAAAATTGTTGAGAAACCAAAAATGTACAACTCACTAAAGTTGAAGGACCAAATTTAACATTTAACCCTCTATATATACCCAAACAATATAATAAAATAAAATAAAGAAACTGCTTCTGAGCCTTAAGATTTGTCTGGCACTCCTTGTCTCTTCTGCATGTGAGGCAATGATGGGGCTGTAGCAAGCAGGAGTGCAGGGGCGCGGGATTGGGGTGAGGCGCGATGTGTAGGGGCATCATTGCTGGCAGTGGGGCGCAGAGTGCAGGGCTGGTGCAGCAGGCGAGTGCAGGCGCGCAGAGGAGGGGCTGGCTTGGTGCAGAGGGGGGTGATGAGTGCTGCTCCGGTGCAGAGGATCTGGGCTGAGGCGAGGGGATCTGGTGCAGAGGAAGGCTGGCGCGGTGCAGAGCTGGAGATTGATGCAGATTCGGTGCAGGGCAGGTGCAGGAAGCAAGGTCGGTGCAGAGCAGAGGCGCAGGTTCGCGGCAGAGTGCAGGCTCGGTGTAGGCAAGCAAGGGTGTAGGCAGGAGGGTCGGTGCAGGCGAGGGCGCAGAGCAAGATCGGTGCAGGCGAGGGCGCAGAGCAAGACCGGTGCAGAGCAGGGGCGTGGAGCAGGGCAAGGTTCGGGTGTGTGGGGGTGGGGAAGAAGTTTCCAGATCCAATTTTTTATTTCCCCCTTTTGTTTTTTTTGGGTTTTGGGTTTTGGGTAATTGGATTTGAGTATTTGGGTTTTGATGATTTAATGGGCTCAATTGAAATGGGTTGGTGTTAAGTTTGCAACTTTGATGAATTTCACATTTAAACTTTTGAGTTCTTCAATTGAGTCCTTTTTTGAGTTTCTTTTCCCATTTCTACTTGAATTTCTTTTTGTACATAGCACCAATGTTTTCAAAACCGGACCGGTCATTGAACCGTTTTCAGGTCCGGTTCCCGGTTTGACCGGTTCAACTGATTGAACCGGTGAACCGACCGGTCCAAACAATAAGGAAGGTTTGATGAGAGGAGCAAGCTGTAGGCATGGATTTTTTTATTTGGTGTTGATAATTTTGTAATTTTGTTAAAGTTAAAGGTTAAAATGGGTATAAGAAAGGAATGAGAAGGGTGAAATTGGAAAAAATTGAAAGAAGATTGCATGAGAAATTGAACCGGTGATTTTTCTGGTTTCATCGGTTTTATCGGTTTTTATCGATTTTCACCGGTTTTTATCTGTTTTATCGGTTTTTGACCGATTTTTACTGGTTTTGACCGGTTTTTGACCGGTTTTTATCTTTTTGACCGGTTTTGACCTCAAACGGTTTTCTTATGTGAACCGAATCATTTTCATTACCGGGTACCGATCCAACCGGTTCAACCGGCCGGTCCGGTCCGGTTTTAAAAACCTTGCATAGCACCTGAAACAAAATAAAGATATATTAGTCCAAGAAAAGAGAGATTATCATATTTTTATTTTTTGTTTTGATTTTTTGATTTTTTGATTTTTGATTTTGTAATTGATATATAAAAAGTCTAAATAAATTAAGTGTGAAAAATCGAGTTATGACAATTGTCTAAATGATTTTAATATTTAAAATGGAAAGAACATTGCTAGCGATGGAAAGAACAAAAATAGCGATATATGGCAAAGAAGCAATTTTCAGTGGGTTTCATTTGCTTAGCTAGAAAATTGTATAGTTTAGGTGTTTAGATGTTGAGAAAATGGTTTTAATCAGTGTTTTGGAATAAGTATTGTATTAATAGGTGTTTAGTTGCCGAGAAAATTATCATGATTGTTAAGAAAATTTATTGAGAAAATTATGATTTAATTAGAAATTAATTGAAATTTTAATTTTGATTAAAATAAGTAATTATAGTTTAATGAATGAATTAAAAGGTGAGATCCATAATCCAGTTGAGAAATTTGATGATTGGTGAGTGGAATCGACATAGCATAATTTTTCGTTCATATAGGCATCTTTTTCTAATTTAATTTGCTACATTATTAAAAAAAATATATAAAAAATACCACATGAACGAAGTTAACGGCCTAAACTGACGGAATAATTAAAATTGTGTAATTCATAGAGTTAAGGGATCAAAAAATACAAAAAATAATTGAGGGATCAAAAAGTATAATTTTGTAAAGTTAAGAAATTAAAATTAACATTTAACTTTAATAAATAAATAAATAAAATGCTGCGGTGCCTGGTCATGATTTTTCCTACAGGCCCACATTGATTCTTTTTTTTTGAGCATGGTTACATTGTTGGGGAAAGGGAAATGAGTTGGCTTTGAACCCGAGGCCTATGACCCGAGGCTTATGAAAATTCCTTTACGATGAGTTACCACTTGTTCTACCCAATAATTCTGTGATTCTTACGAGTTATGACCCAATGTACATGCAACAAATGAGGGATAATCCAACCTCTTAGGAGCGCGTAGACTTCAATTAACTGCTTCTGCTTGGGAGTTGGTTGTCATAAAATGGTCATTTTGTTCTGTTGTGATATTAACCAATTCGGTACATCAGACTTGTTTCTTTGACGTTTTCTGTGAGAGCAGTCTGCTACGCAGCCCACAGAACACCGACAGCACAACCTGAACCTCTTCACCTACTATATGAAATTTTATATGAAATTTTGTAGGGATTTTTTCTTTGTTTCTTTGTAAAAAATTAAAAGAAGTAATTTGTTAAATCCAATCAATTTATATATTTAACTTATACGTATTACTCCTTTTTTTTTTTTAAGTACAATACTAAAATCATTATTTTAAATTGAACGCAACTTAATACATTTTTTTGTCTTAAACTAATTTCTTAAAATATTTTATTTTAAAGTAATAAAATAAAAGTAATTAAATTAATATTATAATAAAAATTAGTACTTGTGAGTGGTGGGGACGGACAAATTTCGCTCCGTCAGAAATCCCTTTCAAAATTCCCATACCTGCAATTTGCGAGAACAAAAACGAGAGGCACTTTCCAACCGTAGGGCCATGGTCATCCCTCTGTGTCACTCCTCAGCATGTATAAATGGTTATTTTTATTTTAATTTTTATATTTCTTATGGCTTGATTACCTCTTTATTGAATGAAAAAAAGTTTCAGTAACAACAACAAAGGTGTGCCTTCAATTGTTCACTAACTCTATATATTTATTTGTATTATTTTTCTACATTCAATATAGTTAATATTTATTTATTTATTTTATATATTATTAATTTTTTACTTGTTTCTTTTTTTTTTTTTTAACTTTGAAAAGTTAATTCACTCGGTAAAGTCCTGGGCTTCAATTCAAGTAATTAACCCATTGTAAAATGCAAATAATCCTTATTAATAATATAATATTAATTAAAAATATAGAGAAAATTGACATTTTTAATCAGTATATGCATATATCGTACTAGAATATGCAATGCAGCCAAATGTTAATCCTAGAAGGGAATGTAGAAGTGCAAATACTTAAAATTCCTTCTTTTTTTTCTTTTGGGTGGGGTAACATGGGGGATTTTCAATTTTGAGGATGGGAATGGATTTTCTAGGCTTTGAACCCAGGATCTATGGGTGGCCACAGGTCGAAAGAATTGTCTAAAAGAGTACTGTAATTTAAACTACAATATATATATATATATATATATATTTTTTAATATTAGAAAAGACAATGGTGAAAACAAGTATTCATTTCAAAATCACACTACTCCTAGTTTTCCTTGAAATTTTTTATACCCATAATAGGGCCACGTGGATTCTTCTCATCCAATAATGAATAAATCTGGGAGAAACAAAGAATATTTTTGTGAAGTATCAGTGAATCCCACAATTTAGAAGCGTAGGAACTATGAAGTACCATGGGTAAAAAAGAAGCCAATTTTTAGACTTCCATTAATAATATGCAAACAAATGAGGCACAGGGCACAGGCAGCACGTCCTCTCCGAAAATGCTATGGTACCTCTGGAATAATGAATGAAAGGGTCTTGTTTGTCTCAATGGAGACTCAGACTGGAGAATGAGAAACAAAGCAAAACCGCTGTAGAGACCCCCTTTGAAACTACTTTTACCAAAAATGGAAAAAATATTACCACTTCCCCATAGCAATTTCAAAAAAGGAAATTATTTACCTTTCTCCTATAAATGATATTTTTACTTTTTAAAATTGAATTCCACTTAATTTTTTTAATTAAAAAGCAACGTACATTATTACATTACATGTTTTACAGTGTTTGAATTTTGAAATTTAATTTTAATTATTTTATTAAATTAATGAGTATAAATTCAACTAAAATTTTTATTGTGATTGCACCAAAATCTGAAAATCATGGCAATTCAAGATGTTTTTTTCTTGATCCATTGAAGTAGTTTAAGTGGTAAAAAATAATGTAAATTATGTTTCAAAAATATAAATTTAATTAGTCTCTCTATTATTATTTGAATGAGAACATATTTAGAATACCTCACCCGCACCACCCTCAATGATAATTCATTAATAATTACTAATTAATTAATTTCACAAAACAGTAGTCTTTCGTAGTGGTATAGGCAAACTATTTTTACCATCTATAAGTTATAATGAAATAAATTCATACTTGCATTTGCTGCATGATAACTTGTTTCTCTTTCATGTAAAGTCTCTAAACATGGTCTATGAATTACGAATATTCAAGATATTTGAATTGTATAACTATTTGATTTAACCATTTTTTTGGTCCGTGTGTTGCATGAGTTATTCTTTAATTCTTTAGGTTAGAACTTACATTTTATATTATATTTCATTAATTCTTAAATTTTATAATAATTTTTTGTTAAAAGATTCTAATTAAGTGATTAAGGATGTGTTCACACTCATTTTTGCAAAAAATAGAATGGTGTCACGTGTCATCCATGTTGGTAGGTATTTTATTGATTAAAAGTTGTTGATGTAAATTTCTCCAGATAAGGTTCAGTGGTTATTTCCACAACGGCAGCAAAATCGTTTGCTTGTTGCGAACTTCTAGGAGGATAATCGACAACACAAATAAATTAATCATTTTGTTTCAGATATCACACTGCCATTGGTTTTTCAAGATTGCTGCCGTAAATCTCCAAGCATGTTGTCAAGGGGTGTTTATTGCTATAAGTATGCAGAGAAGAAACAAAGCGAAGGAGACCAACCTCTCACACAACTAGCCCAGCGCTATCTATATTTTAGTTTTACAAGCAATATTTTAGTTTAGATCCAACTTTCTTAGACAGCTTTCCTAGTTAAGTCTTTAACTCTATGCTGCCATTAGTTTTAGCTCTAGTTTTTGTTATTCCATTGTGAACATCTCCACTAGTTTTTGTTATTCCATTGTGAACATCTCCACTTGATGTATTTCATTTTTTGCAATTTAATTTATTGCACTTTTGCCTAAAATTCATCTTCCTAACTTCTTTTAAGTTTAGTTTTATGCTTCAGTCTTTATTTTGTTTTCCACGTTTTCATGCTTTTGCAGTGGCATCACTCTTCATTTCTGCAATTTAGTTTTCCTGCCATGCACTTTCTTTTTTCTCTTTTCCTTTATTTTTCTCTTTTATTTCGATCAGCAAACTAACATTTTGTCCTTAGTTATGGGAAGTCTCCAATGTTCTTCCATAACAATTATTTATGGACCTTTATGTAAAAATGCATCCCCGTTTCTATGACAATCGTTTGACTAAGGTGCATCTCATAGTTTATTTAATTGGTACTCTTTTATCGACTCGTAGCTGAATTCCACGCTTGGAAGTAATGAGGGTTACTGGGAATCCCTTTTTCTCATTTGAGTAAAGTGAATGGCATGCCTTTGTAGTCTTATCTGTCATGTGGCTAGAAAGGGAGATTTTGGAGACAATAAGATGAATTTAAAATTATTTTTCTTAATTGACAATATTACTTTTTTTAAAAGTCATATAGAGGCATATTAAAAAGAAGGAATATTAAGAGAAATAAAAATATTTATTATTAATCTTATTCCCGTAATCCAAAAAAATTTGTTCTATTTTTTTATTATTATTTTAATTAATAATTTATATGATATTTTCTTTTCTCATAATTATAGAATTAAAGTTAAATAAGAATATAATTAGATTCTTTTTCAAATCTTTCATTTCAATTGGTTTGGAATTATAATAAAATAATAAATAAAACTAAATATCACCCATTAAGTTATTTTCTAGTTATTTTAGATTATGCGTTTTACAGGATTTGATTTTAAAAAAAAAAATTTATATCTATATCATGTGGTTTTCTGTTGTATATATTTTATGATAAAAATATTTTAAAGAAATGTAAATTATATTTATTAATTAGATTGGAGGGCAAAAATATTAAAGTATTTTTTTATTAAGTATTAGAAAATATGTTTTTGAATCTATATTGTACCAAAATATGTTTTTTGATCTTAAGGTAATTTTATATTTTTGAAGCCCAAATAGCTCTGTTATTGTATTTCAATTTGAAAATATGAGCTCCCATATATTGTAAGTTTGAGTTTTAAAACTCTTTCAATTAATTAAAGTTTGATATTATTTCAGTTTTATAACAATAAATTTTATCATTTTTGCTTTATCTTTGTTTTTTTTTTAAAAAAAAATTTTAATGGTTCATATTAAGCTTTGGAATATATTTAGTTGCTATAGTCATTATCATTTGACTAAAATTTGAAATCTTATTTACTTATTTATATTGTGAGATACGCAATGGATTTAATTACGTTAGGTTACTTAAATCATTAGTTTTAAAATCTCATTTAAATTAGTTATATTAGTTTTATTTTAATCTCTTGTAGAGAGTTTAAATAATCAATACTTAACTCTTTATTTTCCTTTTATTGAATTTTTTTTATCTTTTAATATTTAAATGGCTTTACCTCTTCATTTATCAGGAAAAATTTACCCATGATATTGCAAAAGGAAGCATTATTTAGATGGCTTTACTTCAAATAACAAGAGAAATTAATGAGCATGCTACGCAAAAAAAAAAAAAGGGGGTTAGATTAACCAATATCTTCACTTATATTGTAGTTTTAATTTCTATTGTATTTTTTATAAATGCATATCTTAATTAATACATAAGGTAGCATTTTTTCTATATATTTTAAATGTTTTTGTCTCTTCATCTATCCAGAGAAATTAATTCAAATGATAATACAAAGGAAAATACTATTTATATGACCTTATTTATTTATATACCAAAACAAATTAATTAGCATATCATACAAAAAAAAAAAATCAATGAATCAATCTCTTCAGGCGTATTATGATTTTTGGTTTTTATTATATTTTATATAAATAAATACCCTAATTAATATATAAAGAAGAATTTTGAAAAGAATGATAAAAAATAAATAAAATATAATGTATTTTATATTTTAAGTAAATATATATCTTATTTAATGTAAAAAATAGCATTATATATAGATAAATACAAATTAGTTACTGTTAGATATGTAGATCTTTTTATACATAATGTAGCATTTTAATTTTTTAATATAAATTTTGTTAATTATTAATTTAATAATTAAATAATTTTTATTTTATATTTATATTACTACTTTTTTATTTTCTTTAATTATTTTTAATTTTTATTTGATTGAATATATCATTTTTAAAAATTAAAGTTATAGTTTTCCGTACAATCAATGGGTTCCACAATTTCTACTCCCACCGCCCACCCAGGTTTCGACGCAGGCAAAAGCCATTAGGCGCGTGGGTCATTTTCCATAACCCATTTGCTGGTAGTGTACATTGTACAATACATGTCCTTTTTGACGCATATCAAACTGCGCCGCATGTCAAACTGTTAACGCCTTTGCATATCATAGCATATAGGGCTAGGCTTTATACCATAAATGTCACAATTATTATTATATCTTATTTTCAGTGAAAATAATATGATAAATTATCATATAATAAGTTTAAATGATAATATGATAATACCATTTAGACCTATGGTACGATATTAGTAATGAAAGTTATTATTATTTTTACCATATAATTATCAAATTTACCACTTATTCAAAACTTTTTCTTCTTTTTTTTTATTCTACAAAGTTTTCAATTGTT